GGCTCACACCAATGTCTCTGGCTAGGCAAAGACCTGCTATCAGGGCCTCATACTCGGCCTCGTTATTGTTTGCGTCAAACAGGAAGTGGAGAGCACACTTGAAATAACCACCCTCGAGGGCAGTGAGGATGAGACCAGTCCCACTACCTTTTTTGCGGGATGATCCATCGACATTGAGGGTCCAAGAGTGGGGATCTTCTGCCTCAGTGTTGAATTACTTGGATGGGGAGGCCATGGTTGGAGTGGGATTGGTGAATTCCAGGATAAAATCAGCGACAACCTGTCCTTTGATCGCTGTTTGAGGTTGGTAGGAGATTTCAAATTGGCTGAGCTCGACGGACCATTGCATAAGTCTGCCGGACAACTCTAGTTGTTGCATTATCTTCTTCAAAGGTTGGTCAGTGAGGACCACGATGGAGTGAGCTTGGAAGTAAGGTCGGAGTCGTCTTGAGGCTATGACCAAGGCCAGGGCCATTTTTTTCAGCAATGGGTAGTTCTGTTCTGCTATCCTAAGAGCCCGGCTAATGTAATAAACCGGACGTTGTACTGAGCCGTCCTCCCTGATGAGGGCCGCACTGACTGCGGTGCTCGATACGGCTAAGTAGAGAAAAAGGGGCTCACCCATGTGAGAGAGTAGAGGGGGTTGGCCATGCACTGCTTCAATTGTTAGAAGGCCTCTTCAGATTCAGTCGTCCACTCAAAAGTCTGCCAAAGGACTTTAAAAAAGGTGAGGCACTTGTCTGTTGCGCGGGAAATAAAACGGTTGAGGGCGACGACTCTGCCAGTAAGCCTTTGAACCTCTTTAACCGTTCTAGGTGACTGCATTTCTATTAGGGCCTTGATCTTTTTGGGGTTGGCCTCGATACCCTGTTGATTGACCATGAAACCCAAGAACTTCCCCGATCCTACGCCGAAGGTGCATTTCTCCGGATTGAGCTTCATTTGATACTTACGTAAGGTTCCGAAAGTCTCTCGCAGGTCTGCCAAATGATCAGACAAGAGTTTGCTTTTGACAACCATGTCATCGACGTAGACTTCTATGTTCCGACTTATTTCATAGTAAAAAACGGCATTGACCAACCGTTGGTAAGTGGCTCCGGCATTTTTCAACCCGAAGGGCATAACACGATAATGGTAAGTTCTTCTGTCTGTGATGAAGGAGGTGTGTTCCTGGTCAGCCGGGTGCATCAGAATTTGATTGTAGCTAGAGAAAGCGTCCATGAAACTGAGCATCTGGTGTTCGGCTGTGGCATCGACAAGCAAATCTATGCAGGGGAGGGAATAGCTATCTTTGGGGCAAGCCCGATTAAGGTCGGAGTAGTCGACGCAGAGTCGTCATTTACCATTATTTTTACGGACCAGGACCACATTGGATGACCATTTGGGGTAGTCTACGTTCTGGACAAACCGTGCCTCCAGCAGTTTGTCTACCTCGGAAGCAATAAGAGCATTACGCTCTGGGTGAAAGATACGCTGCTTCTGGCGGAAGGGTCGGAAATGAGGCTCGATACTGAGACGATGAGTGATGAAGGAGGGATCGATACCCGGCATGTTGGAATGGGTCTAGGCAAACACATCATTATGCTCGGTCAGGAGGGTTGTAAGGTCAGCCTTGGCTTGGGGGGATAGTTGGCTGCCGATCTTGGCTGTTTTTGTTGGGTTGGTGGGGTCGATGAGGACTTCAACAAGTTCTTCCACTAGTTCCCCTCTGACTAACTCATCTTCGTCTCTGACGCCGAGTCCTTCAATGATCATAGTCTCCTTCAGCTTGACCTCTTTGAGTGAAGCGACATAGCATTCTCTGACCACAGTCTGCTCCCCCCTCACGGTGCCGACTCCAAGGTCGGTAGGGAATTTCATGGCCAAATGGTACGTAGAAGTGATAGCTTGACCTCTTTTAAGGGCAGTGCGGCTGAGGATGATGTTATAAGCAGAAGGACAGTTGACGACAAGAAAAGTGAGCAACTTAGTGGTTTGCCATGGGTATTCTCTGATGGTGATAGGAAGATCGATGGAGCCTATGGAGGTCACCCGATCTCTAGTGAAGCTGACCAGTGGGGTTTGGAGAGGGGACAAACTTTCTTCCTCGACCTTGAGCTGGCGATAAGTGTTTAGGAAGATGATGTCTAAAGAGCTATCGTTGTTGACAAGCACCCGTCTGACTTTTTAATTGGAGAGGAGAATAGAGATGACGAGGGGGTCATTATGGGGGTAACGGATGCCTGTGCAGTCAGCCTATGTAAGGGTGATGGGCTCCATCCACTACTTGGGGTGTTTGAAGGGGCGGTCCAATGTCGCGACCTCTTTATTGGAGCCCTGCATGATTTTTCTAAGTTCTGCTCGTTGGGCCAAACGGGATGGTCCTCCACATGCTAGCCTGCCAGCAATAACTCTGATCTCTCCAACCAGGGGGGCAGGGTTGCCTTGTGCTTAGGGTTGCTGCGGGGACCGATCATTGCCTTGGTTAGGTTGTGCGAGTTGTCAAGGAGGGGTGTGTCGGTGGTTGTTTCTGGTAGGTTCGGTCCTTGGCCGTTGCTGAGGGCGGGCCGCCGTGAACCGACTGAGACGCCCCTGGCGTATCAAGCTCTCGACCTGGTTTTTAATGTTAACACGTTTCTCAGTATTGTGGCCGTGGTCCTGATGGAAACGGCAGTATTTGGACTGGTCTTGTCGGTTAGAAGGAGACCGCGATGGTTGTGGCCATTTTAGGGGATAATGTCGTTGGATCTGGTTACAAGACTTGTTCCATGGGGAAATTGAGGGGGGTGTACCATTCAAACCGGTCGGGCGGTCTGGTAGGTGCCGACCGGTCGGCTCGAGCAGGTCAATCAGTATACTGAGGTGTTTGCTATATGTACTGGGTGGTTCTGGTTTCAGAATCCTTTCTCTTCTCTCTGGGATAGGATTTTTGGTTGTGGAATCTTGTCGAGCGGCTAGGGAATCTTCGGCATTCATGTATTTTTGGGCTTTGGAAAGGAGGGTTGCCATAGAGGTTGGAGGGTTTTGGAGAGGGAGAAAAGGAAATCAGATGATCGTAGATCGACCATGAAAGCCGTGAGAATGACCTTGTCATCGTTTTCCGCCAAGTGCAAGGCTTCGGTGTTGAAACGGGTGATGAAGCTGCGCAGCGACTCCCCCTCCGTCTGACAGATGTTGAGGAGTTGGGTTGCCGGACGCCGTTGGCGCTAGGCACCAATGAAGTGGCTGAGAAATGAGTCACTTAGATGCTGAAAAGTAGAGATAAAGTCTGTCGGCAGCTGACTAAACCACAGTCGAGCCGACCCTTTAAGCGTTACGGGGAAAGCTCGACACATGATCTCATCAAGGAATACATGGAGGACCATGAGGGTCCTGTAAGTCTCCAAGTGGTCGACTGGGTCCGTTGTACCATCGAAAGAGTCGATCAAGGGCATTTTGAACTTAGAAGGTAGGGGTTTGTCCTTGATGGAGGCAACGAATGGTGAGTTGGCTGTGGTAGAGGGTTTATTCTGCATGTTCTACATGACTCCTTGAAGCTGGAGTTTCATGACTCGGAGTTCTGCATCCCAAAGAGGAGCGTTGTCACCACCGGAATGAAATGGAAGCTAGACGCTACTGGCCTCTCCCTCGGGGACAGGTGCTTGGACCGATGGATGTGGGGCCCGAGGTGGCAGGTTCATATCTTGGGGAAGGGGTCGCAAGCCCTCCAAGTTGGATGGATGGGATTGTTGGATGAGGTGGCTCGGGGCTTATTCTCGGTTGGGTGGGATATCTTGAGGTGGTGGAGGAGGCATAGGAAGGTCTCTTTGAAGCAAAGCACTGATCAGGGCTTGGTTTTGTTTGGCTAAGGTTAATGCTGTTGGCGAGTTCTGTGAAATACGACGGTGGGTTGTTTGGGTTAGGAGGGTCGGCTTGGGGGTCGGCAACGTTGTGTTGGGAAGCCATGGATCTAGTTGTGACCGTCCACCTTGGTGGGTGGCAAGTAGGGATTATCGGGAATGGGTCTCCGGCGACAATGAGCACAGTTGCCACATGGAGCGAAAAGGTTCCCACAGACGGCGCCAACTGATGATACTACGTGCTCCAGATGGAACGAGTCAGATTGATCCACTCTTCCAAAACCGTTCCCCAAGTGTTGAGCCCACAGAGAAACCCGCACAAGAGTTCAACGGGGAACGGGGAGTTCCCCAGTGAACCCTCCGACGAGCAAGTTAAAGAAGTGAGAGTGATGGAATGTAGAGATAGGGTGGTAATAGAGAACTTAACCTTTTCTTTGTCTTAGAAGCCTGTTTATATCCTTTGCTCATCATTTCCTTGTCCACTCCGAGCTGTCATGTTGGCCAAAAGTCTATGTTCTAGCTTGCCTTGTTCGTGGTGAGGTTGTTCTGTTCCGACGTGAAGGGTTATCGTAATAAATGCTGCAGGGAAACTCATTACTGGCAGATGTGTGGTGCAATAACTCTGCAGGATCTTTGTCTGCTGATGTGGCTGGTTCTTCACTTGACAAGTATTTAGATGTCATTGGTGCTTGGTGTAACGTTGGGTTCCAAGAATGTTGGGCTTTAGTACTTGAATCGTGGATTGGGCCTTAAGTGGTGGCCCATATCCTTTATGGGTCCACCCATGTCAACATTTATTTACAAAAATGACATTGACATATCATTATTGTAGCGTTTTTGGTACTCAAAAAGACTAAGCAGTTGTCAATCTCCGTGTGTTTCGGTATTTTTTTTTTTATTTTTAGTTTTAGTTATGACCTTGTAATTAGACTTCTTTTTGGGAGAAAAACATGCCAGAAGGTCCATCCTGAGGCTATAGAGCCAGTCTCACAGGACTTGAAGCACCTTCTTCAACAGTCAAGAGACTGGTACGACAGTTAGTTTTGACATAGTGTCACACACCAGCTGTGCGGAAGCCTTGTCAAGAGATAAGTAAGTGTGTGTGGTGCTAGTTAACTCTCTTCACTAGCCTGCCAGTAGAGCTCAAAGCGTTTGCAAAGACAAGCAACCACAATATAAGTTAGTTTATGAGCCATTAGGTTGGAGACAAGCCACAAATTAGCAAGCAACAAGCTAAATTTAAAGCAAGCAACACTAGAAAAGCTTTGCACAATTTAAAGGTGAAATGAACTTTTCATTGATCAAAAGAAGGCATTACAATAGTTGAACAATGTACCAAAAGTGCTACAAGAGTTGCCTTACCATTGGTTAGGTTGGGGTACTTCAAAGGCACAAGTGGTTTGGTTCAACACTTGGGTACCCCCTCCTTAATATAACTTGTTAAGCCTTTTCCTAGCCAGCAAGAGGAAACATCTATTATGTTTAAGGAGTCATAATAGATTTCTAAAAATTCTACAAAAAGAGAAAAATTACAAGACATGGTCCCAAAACACCTTTAATACTAAGGTATTTACATAAAAATTTACAAGGCAAAAAGACTACATTTGACCCTCCAAAATGTGCTTCAAAGTTGCTGCTGGACTGGCAAGGCTGTGGCCTTGCTGTTGGCTGTTGGCTGCTGCCACTGCTGCTGGACGTTGGCTGCTGCTGCTGTTGGCTGTTGGCATGGGCTGCTTCATGGCATGCCGTGGGCTATCTTGCACCATGCCTTGGGCCTTGGCTTGCGCTTGCACCAACTTCTTGGGCATGTTTTTGGCTCTCCAAAGGGCCCAAATGAGTGTAGCATCAAGGTGTTGACCCTTGGATGAGCGCACCTTGACACATAGCAAGGCCAGACATAGTTAATCATTGAGAATGGATGTGTCTTCGCTAGTATCCTCATGTAGGCATTCATGGCAGCTTTCGATAAGATGTATGCTGAGAGATAAGTAGGCCCGTTCTTGGCTTCTAATTGATCTTCTTTGAAATCTTTCATGAACTCAGTCAGTATCTCATCCACTTTGTCTTCACTGAGGTTTTCTGCATCACTTGGAAGTCCTACATCCCATTCACCGGATACATACTGAAACAAAAACAGCATGAAATCAGAATGTTGAGTTCGGGTATTTCTTACAATGATTCAAATCTATGAAAAAAAAAAAAAAAAACAAAAACTATCTAGAATGCACTAGATGTCATAGTCTACAAAATCCCTCTACTTTTTGTCATAATTTAAAAATAAAAAATCCACATAATCAAAGGAATTATGTTTCCTTAAATTCTCCATTGGAAATCATTTTCCAAGAAAGCTCTGTTTGATTGTGTTTTTGTTTTCTTTGTTTATGATTTTATTTGGTTTTTCATTTTTCTGGAAAATCTAAAACAATGAAAAGTTCGAAAACACCCAAAGTTTTCATTTTTACACGAAAACAGTTTTCGAAAATTTGAAAACAACTTTACGGTATTTCCCAAACAGTGGTTTGTTTAAAAATAAAAAATAAAAAAATAATCGGCAAAAAAGTTAACCAAACAAGTCTTGCAATTGGTTCTTATTGTCCGAAAGCCAACAATTTACAAAAATTTTGTTGGTTTGGCTCAAGTTGTTAACTGTGCATCGATTTGGAAAAAAATTCAATACAATAATAATAATATAATAATAACAAGAGCGTTGCTGTTTAAGATAAAAAAATTAGACTCAATTTTCAAGTCTAGTGATGTGGCAATCAATTAGGATATTAAAGGCAACACTTTCTCTCATGTCTTCTCTAATCATCAACCAATCACACACTTACACATCATTGGACTTAGAAAATGGGTCTAGAAAGTGGGCTTGTATATCATTTTCCTAATAATAATAAAATTAGATTCATATCAGCTTACAATTATCATACTTGGTTTTATTTCTTATCAGAGTTTTGGCTACTTATTGTACAGTTTTAAGATTGTAACCAAACTTTGGAAAAAGTTTCCTACGAATTTTCTAAAAAATGTAAATATTTTCTATAGAAACAAACAGAGCTTATAGTTTGACAGCTTCGATAATTTTGTACCTGTAGCTTCCCAGCAGTGGAGGAAACGTTAACGATCCTTGGTGAATCAAATAAAAGGAGGAGAGGAAGAAGTACTTGAATAAAAGGAAGAAGAAGAAGAAGATATTGAAGACCTACCCCTGCTGAAGCCTTAAGAGCTTCAGTATCAACTGTGATCGCACCAATTGCTGCATTGTTCACCTGCAAATTCCAATTTTTATTTAGTTACCCAAAATCAGCAATGATATATACAAATGACAAGTAATTGGATCCGATCAGAGTCTATGCCTCAAGAAATTTCCACATGATTTACTTCAAAAATGTCAAGAATCATAAAATGGTTACAGAGCGCATGGACTGCACAGAACAATAGCCATAAAGAGCCTGAACTAGGACTTTTCATACATATTTGTGAAATCTGATTTTTATTTATTTATTTATTTAAGGACATTGGCAATACAATCAAGAAACACAGTTCAACCCAAGATACAAAATTCTTCCTAAAGTGACTAATTTGATAGAGATGCTCCAAGCTGTAGCCAAAATACAAGTATAAAGTAAATATTTATATTGTTAATATAGCATGATGAATTGATAAGAGTTTAAAGATAGCAAGAATTGTGTCTTTGTCATACCAAGATATCAAGCCTTCCAAATTGGGTTTGGATGAAATCAGCAAGTGAAGCAATTGTAGATGGGTCCAACACATCAAGCTGATGAAAGACCACAAGATCAGAGAGACCATTCTCTTTGAGTTTTTCAAGAGCTTCAATACCCTTTTTCTCATCTCTTGCAGTTAGCACCATCATCACCCCATTTGAAGCTAACTGTCTGCATATTTCCAATAGTATCCCTCTGTTTGCTCCTGTCACAACTGCATATCTACAACACATATTTACATACATATTACACTAGCAGTGGATGCAAATGTGATGCGTTTGCAATTGTGCATCTGAACTTTTGATCGGTTTAATGAATGATGATTGAATTTAAAAACCGTTTAGCAATTATAGGATGTAAAGTTTTAACAGAAAACAATTTTATGGGTATTTTGGGAAAACAAAGAAAGTGACAAAACTTCTGAGTTGTGTACTTTATTGCGTGTAATTCTACCATATTTGAAACCTTAGTTTGCTGCATATAGAGAGAGATATGGTGCAAAGATTACAAGCTGAAGTAGTTACAAGACGATTTAACCGCTAGATTTTTCCAATTCCTCGCAATTAGTGATAACATGAGTATTTAAATTTTTTTTAAAAAAATATTTGTGATTTTTTTGGAATACAAAAAAAGCATTACATAATTTTCATTTTTTAGCTCCCATCAACTTAAATGTTCACAGTATAATATTAAATAGATATACGTAAATTTGAGCTTTTAATTTTTAACAATTTGTAAGAGAAATAAGAAAATTGAAAATTGCACATACAACAATGAGACTCGAATTTGAACATCATTAAAGGGCACCCCAACCCTTGGTCTCATACAAAATTGGGCTTGAGCATGCCATAAAAAAATAAAAATAAAAATAAAAAGTAGATGACAGTAAAAATTCAAATATATGAAAGATACCAGCCAAATGGGTCAGGGCCTATGACTCTTATATGTAAAGTCGATTCAAATTTTAATGATATATTAATAGGTAAACGTTTCACTCCCTATTCCTCTTGAGGTTAGTCTAGGGCTACGGTCTAATAATTATCTGATATATGTAAGATGAGGGACTACATGTATCTAAATATTAGCGAGGATGAAACCTCAAACACCTTTCATGAGCAATACATATGTCTAATCTATATCAAGATCAAAGTTGAGAGAAATTTTAGTAAGAGAGATATATAATTGATAAAGCAGGTTCTTTGGGAATTTAAAAAAAAAAAAAGAAAGAAAAGAAAAGAAGAGAAGAGTATGATAGTGATTAAAAAGAGAAGAAATGGGTTTGAATGTGTGTGTGTGTGTGTGTGTGAGAGAGAGAGAGAGAGAGAGAGAGAGAGAGAGAGATGGGTTTTCAGTTTCGGTTTTCAGTTGGGAAAGGAATCTACTTCGGAAATTTGCGAGGGAAGTTGGGGAGGGTAAAGAGACAAATAAGAAAAGACGTTGTAGTGCCCTAGAAAATGAACCCAAAGCACACCCAAAAAAACAAATAATAACACTAATAATAATAATAATTAAAAAAATAGAGTAGAGATATTGACACAAAACATATGTGTAGAAATTTGTGTGGTCCTAACATGAAAAGGGATCATACAGGGCTATTTTGGCAATATGTTCAACTGTCAAAATGTCACTACAAAAAGTCTAACTCTTACTTTCTTACATATCTTTTTGTAAAAAAATCAAAAATTCAACTAAAATAATCAGTTCACCCTATAGTTAGGTGGTGTTTGTTTCTCTTGATTAGGAGAATTGAACTAAAAATATAGGATAAAATACACTTGTAGTTCAAATATATATCTATATATATTTTTATATATCAGTTTGGTCCTTATAGTTTTAATTATATCAATTTTATCTTAGTTTTTCATATTGTGTCAATTTAATTTAATTAATAATATCTTTTTAGAAATTAGGCTGGAATTGAAGGGGAAAATAGCCCACTAATTCTCTTCAAAATGATTGAATTTGAGGGGTTGATGCCCATTTTAAAAAGATCCATTTCCTTTAGGATGGACTATTTTTATCCTTGATTTTTGTTTAATTCTTAATTGATGTTATCAATTTGATTAAATATTTATAATTGAAAAAATAATTGTTTAGCGTGACCCATATATTTAAAATTAATCGACTTGTTTGGTTGAGTTTTAAAAACTGTTAGTACTTTTTTTTTTAAAAAAAAAAAAAAAAAAAAAAAAAAACTACAATCTAGTTTGGTAAATATATATACTTATCATTTTCATACAATTTTCTCTTTTTGGGGAAAAATAATTTTGAAAATTTTGAAAATAATTTTTGATGTTTCTTTTTGTTAAACTAATTTTTAGTTTTTTAAAAAGAAAATTTTTTTTATAAAAAACTCAGCAAAACAAGGTGAATATGACCATTCAGTAAAATATTCCTGTGATATATATAGCATTGTCCAAACTGTAATCCTTAACAATATTAATCTTAATGCAAAGTTGAAAAAAAGGGCTACTTGTTACCACCAGGAAACAAATTAAATAACAAATGAAAACAGCTCCAAAGATTTGAAAATCTTCGTCAGTAGGACCACACACAATTCAATCATTGTTGGAAAATAATGATTTTTCGATAACTTTAATTCAAAATTAAAGTAGGACTCAATCACTGATTAAGGTGGGTCTATGTGATTTTGTATTCTCTCAAGTGAGAAGATTACAATATAAAAATGATGGGCCGAAACCATTGAATTGTGAATGAGAATTGTCTCATAAGGTGGGTATCAATAAAAGTTGGGCCTGGACCTAGGCTTGGAATTGGACTTAGTTTTAGTCTTGGTCTGGACTAGCCTAGGCTTGTGTATGTGCATGTGTTGGACTTGTCTTAGGCATGGGCTAGATTGTACTATGTTGGACTGGACTGGGCTTGTCTTGTGCATATGTTTAGACTAGGTTTGGATTGGGTTGTGACCCAACACCCATATCCATTTTGCGACCTATCTAGTTGGATTATTTAAATAGCATTATATATATATATATATATTTGTTTATTTATTCAACCTTTGTAACTCTCATCTTTTGATGATAGAGTTGGTGATCATATTATGCACATGAGAGTTTTGCACCTTTGTAACTTTAGCTCTAACGGCTAGAGTTGATGGCCATTGATACTAGGTTTTATGGTAGCCTTCATGGCTAAGACTCATTCCCTACAAGTATAAAAAGGGCCTTTCCCCTTCAACTTAAAAAAAGAGTTTTTGAGAGATTTTTGATGGAAAATGGAAATGGTGCTTTGAGATAAAAAAGTTGGAGATGATTTTTTACACCAAGAAAAATTTTCCTATCTTCTTTTGTTAGCCCTTTCTTTGATTCCCGTTAGAGACAGTGCATCCATTGTCAAGTTCCCTAAAACTAATCAGAAAGTGCTTCTGCCTTAGCTGGTTTCGACCGTCGTATCCTAGAAGACAGACGTCAGCGTACCTCTAGCATCCATCGAGAGACGGTGAATTTGTTTTAAGGAAATTATCTAGTGCGGGTTTCGATTTGCTTCTTTTCTTATCATTTGTTCTTAAATTTTTCAATACTTAGTTTATAAAGATGAGTTCTAATCTTTAGTTATCCATGTTAATAATTTATTTAATTAGTAATGTAATCTAATTCATTTATGTAATTTTAGTTGCGTAGTTTATTCTTTAAATAAAATAAAAATAAAAAATTATTTTGTCATTTCTATGTAATTTATTTTATATATTTTTCTTGTGTTGTTATGGAAAAATACCAACAATCATTTCAGTATTTAAGACTATATTGAGATAGTTCTCACTATCTTGCTATTATTTTTCATTTTGTTAAGCATGACTCGTCAAATTAAATATGATCTATATGTAACATTACTGTTTTTTTGTTTGTTTTTGTTTTTTTAAAATTTCATGTTGATTTCATTGTCCTATATATGTGTATATATATATATAGATGTATTATATTAAAGATGTAACCGCGTATGGCCCTCCATGCAATAGTTGAGATGCGATCGAATCATAAATTATACAATCTTATAGAACCTATCAAATAGAACCTGCTGCAACTTTCAGGTCATCCATAATTAACAATTTATATTTGAAGTCAGAAAAATGATTTGTTTCTTTTTAAAATTCAAATTGAAAAAAATCAACTTATTTAACTTGGATTGAGCAATGCTATAATGGGTTCATCCCACTATTCAACTCAAGCTTAAATTGCCAGTCGATTCGTCAGTTGGCAAGTAGGTAGATTTAGGCAGATCAAAAAATCATAAATTATATAATCTTATAGAACCTATCTAATAGAACCTGCTGCAACTTTCAGGTCATCCATAATTAACAATTTATATTTGAGGTTAGAAAAATGATTTGTTTCTTTTTAAAATTCAAATTGAAAAAAATCAACTTATTTAACTTGGATTGAGCAATGCTATAATGGGTTCATCCCACTATTCAACTCAAGCTTAATTTGCTAGTCAATTCGTCAGTTGGCAAGTAGGTAGATCTAGGCAGATCAAAACAAGTTATGCAATAAAATAACTTAAACCAAACTCGCTCATTTAATGAACAAGTTTAAAAAAGTTGAATTAAATTCGATACAGATTAAATAAATCAACCCATCCACTTTGTTGAACTATTTTTTCTAATTGAGATGGTGGAGTGGGTGGTGATCATGATGGTTGCTGTGGATAGTGTGGAGGAGATGGTGATGGAGTGGCTGCAAATAGAGGTGGTGGTGGAGTAGGTTGTTCAACTCATTTAAACTCATTTATATACTTAAACAAGTATAAACTGATTTTTAATTGATGTAAGTGGATGGGTTCATAGCTTCAAATTGAGTTTGTGACCTCTAGTTTCAGGTGAGATTTCGGCTAAAAAATCAGTCTCTTGAGCTTAACACCTTTTTCACATTTACAATTCATTTAGAGGTCCTGCAAAGATAAATCTTTTTAAGATTAAGCTATCAATCCCACAACATGATCAATAGTTCAGTCTCTCCTTTCTGTTCTTTTTCCTAATCGTCACAAAATATATTTAGGTTGAAATCGCAAATTAAAGTAGACTAAAAAAAAGGAGCATACATGAAACATCAATAAGTTTTTGAAAAAACTGAAAAAGAGAAAGTTTACATGATGTTGTTCATTACATCAATAAGCAGATTTATACAAAAGGACTTGATCAAAACTGCAGTGCCATTATTTTTCAACTTCTACGACCCTTCTCTCTCCAGTTCTGTTCTTTCACCATATTACTATTCTAGGCTTCAAAACTACAGTTACATCATGAATATTTGAATGGCTGCAGAACGTTGGGACGGTGTTTGTAGAAAAATATCCTGCGCGCACACACAGAAATGATCGGAACTTTATTTCTCATGAACAAGAGGGCTGTAAACTGGAAACCACATGTTGCGTTTGACATATTCCACCGTCTCCTCCTACATCCAAAATGAGAAAAGCCATAGTTTATTAGCAACATTGGTGGTTCCAGGAATCAATGATTAAGTTCTACAAATTCTATAAGGAAATTTTTTCACTTTTACCAATATTATATGTAACATTTGTTTTCTATAAATTTTAGTGCATTCATACTAATCATTTTGTAAAAAATAAATGTAATTACAAAAATTTCTACAGTTCCTCTCAATGAATTTCCTTACTTTGGTTGGAGAAATTTGAAGGATATTTGGTGATTGGTGGAGTGGACTCACTGAATTCGTTTTTGAACTTAGAGAAATCTTGTCATCTTTGGGACTTGAACAAATATAGAGATGGCCTAAAAAAAATTAAAAGGTATGACACTCTATGCTAAGTGCAATAAGGTCTTTTTTTTTTTTTTTTATAAGTTAATAGGGTCAATATTATCCATATATGATATATATCTATAGATATAATTTTTTTCAATGATTTTTCAAATTTTAGTGGCATCAATTGACTCATACCAATGTATGTGGTGCGACCTATGGGTGCAACAAACAAATGTATTTTATTTTTTTATTTTTTTATTGGCACCGGGGTGTCCGGATCAAAGTCCGACTAATCCCTAGGAGTGCACAAGCGCTCGGCAAGGAGTTTTCCGCAAGTGCACCAAGCCCCAAGGAATTGTTAGCATCTAAGAGGTTTCGGAGGTGCTATATGCACCAATTGATATACTAATTAGTGTACCAACATAGTTATGACATTGTCATTTAAAAACTACGATCCCACCCATTATACAAATTTCAAAGACCTAAAGCCTCTAAAATTATGACACATCATCCGTACACTAATTAGTATACCAATTAGTTCATATAACATTATTCAAGAGGTTTTGATTCTTGAATCTTGGAGAGAGCACATTCCCAAAATCCAAGGCCTTCCCACCAAGCCAACCTCTTGGGGTTTGCAACAAACAAATGTATTGGTGCAACCAACAAAGTAATTGATGCAAATAGACAAAATAAATATTTTAAATATTTTTTTAAGCAAATTTTCAAAATTGGCAGATGGGGTCAATTAACCCCATACTCTATAACCTAGCGCCGTCCCTGATTAACAATGAGAATAACTGAATAACTAACTTGCTTAGTTGAGTTGAGTTTAGTATTTCTGAATTGGTTCATTTTAAAGTTAAATGTCAGGTTGCTTTCATTGTCAAATATTAAAGCTTCTTTTTCTCGTCCAAATGTGCTTGTGCGTGTCATGTCATGGCTATTTTTATAAAAAAAAGAGATGCATTTCTCTTGTAAGAAAGTTGAGAACTATCCATACTTTTGACATCTACCTGAGCTCTCTGGGTCCCACATCACAGCGTCCTTCTGCCAGTTCTTCGGCAACTACTGCTCGAACAATAGCAGCTCCAACCTCTGCTGTTATATCTTGAATACTGCAATCATAAGTAGGTCATAGCAAAAACAAATTAGTATAGGTCACTTTACCTTTATTTTACTAATTCATTCATAGGATGTCCCCAGATGGAGAAATATTTTCTTTGCAAATTTTACAAGTCCTGGTTAGGGATATATGATGAGCAGATCCAATTTAGGGATATATTGATGAGTAGATCCAATCATCTGACCCATGAAATCAGAGGTCGGATTTAAATAAAGAGAAAAGAAAACTTGATTGTAGTATTAGCCATACAGTCAAAACAATTTGAAAAGGCTCTAAGGTTCACACACTCTGCAAGGTCAGAGTTAGATCCAATATCAGTGGGTATGTAGTCTTTGCATAATGCAAACTAACCTGATTAGTGATTATTGATCATGCTTTAACAAGCTATATCCAAAACCCATTGACAAGATAACGACTTTTCGTGCTGCTATTCAATGTGCACACTTAAGGTAATAGGTTGAACCTTACCCACTAGAAGAAAAGATCAGTATATGAGCTAGCTATGAAGCACAGACGCATCAAAATAGGTGCAATAGCCGTGTTAGATATGTACGGGACAGGGACAGGGACAGGGACATGGACGTGGAGGGGACACATATGGGATATGCCACATGATGTGTCCATTTTTATAATAATTTTTTCAGGGGACACAACAGGACACGCAGGGTCTTAATTTAATTTTTTAAAGCTAATTTTGCGGGTAATATTATAATGCTTGGAAGTTGGAAACATGAGAGTTGAATTTTAAAATATAGATAAAGAACTCATATCAAACCATCGACAACACAGTACATATCTAACCACAAGTGTGAATTTGGGAAACTGGCTTCTAATGATCTTTGGAGCCTAATGCAAACATATATCTAGTCTCTAGATAATTTACATTTAGTTTTTTATTTTTATTTTTATATATGTTAAATAAGTGTTGGTTTTCATGAATTTTAGTTGTTTGTGAATGTAATATTTACTTCCATAGAAAACAAAAATATATAAAACAATTATATTTTTTTGTTGTATCCTCACCATGTGTGTCTGTGTTCTGATTTTTTTGAAATTGTCATATCTTGTCTCCTTGTTCGTATTCGTATCCGTACTTCCTAGTGAGCTAGTGTCCAATTGATTTCCAAATATGTATGAAAAGGTGATCCGTGCTTCCTAGTGAGCTAGTTTCGAACTGACTTAAAAATATATATGAAAATTTTAAATGTTCCAATAGAGCTAAGAACAACAATACCTACTCATAGGAGGATACAAAATACCACTCTGAATTTCTTCGTCTGTAATATATGAAGCAATACAGAGAAAAACTATATTAGCAAAAGTGAGCTGATATTGGGTTCAACCCCATGCAAGTGTAACCCAATAATTACAGAATACAAGTTTGGCAAGAGATGGATGCACCTCTAGCCAAAACACTATTTTTATAGCACTCAAAAGGACTCTTTTAGACCTGACACACCAAACAAACATATGGTCTTACTTTATTCTTTACTTCACATGACTCACTTACAACGCTATAGATATGGCAACACACATGATGATAGTAACAAGTGCCACCTCATTTCATGAGGGCACAGTTAACAATCCAATAAGAATTGATGAGCACGGCACTAATCCATAAAAGGCTATGTTAAAGCAAAGAACGAAGTGGTCAAATTGTGTAATATATACCATTCAGAAGCTGCTTGCGACATTCCATCTGAAATCAAATGAGCACCTGAGAGAAGAGTTCCCATCTTAATCCTGAATCAAGTCAAAAAGGTTTACGATAGTAGTCATAAAAAACTAAGCACAATATATCAGAGACGTGAGCATTTGAACATTAGCACTAACCCAGGAAACAAATACATGTTATTTGCTTGATTTGCTTGATTTACATGACCCACTTCCATTCCCTGACAACAAGTATATGATTGGCAAAGGTCAGAGTACACACTGAGGAAGACAGGTATATAGAAACTACAGAACTGTTGGTTGCATTGGCTACGTAATGAGAGCAGAGTGAGACCAATTAATTTATTGATACTGTGCAAAAACACTCCACAACAATTAGCACCAATATAAAGAAACCTTAACAAGGTCAACATTTTTGAAAGGGCTCCCGCTTGCAAAAACAATATTTTCTCCAGCATGATTGAAAGCATCAACAGCAGTGCATTCTGCTGTTCCAGTTAACATGGAACAACGATGTTCAATAGGGAAATAGAGCATTCCACAAATAAAATAAAGATAATTTAGACGGCTTGAATGACGAGCCATTCATCGCCGGATTTGACATTGAAAAAATGGCAGGCTTAGGGGAATCTGACTCTCGCATGGCCTTAAGCACCTGATTTATCAAAGAAGACAAAAGCTTTACCAAGCTCAAAAAGAGCATACACTCTGCCATTGTTGTGCTTAGTGCCCTGCAGCTAGACACTAAGTGGAGAATGGTTTTTCAAACATAGCCAGCCAAAGTTACTTATCAAGTAATAGATATTTCAGAATGAGATACAGTAATGGTATTTAATTATGAAAAAAGCCAAAATTGTGCATGAAAGGATTAGTAAATTGAGGAAAAAACACCCACAAAAGTAGAGTAAACAAAGTATCGTTAAACACAATAGGATAATTAAAAAAGAACAAGGGTTGATGCAGTAACAAAGAATGTAATTGCCATGGATTTAACGGAGGTATTGTTCTATAGAGAGCATTTTAGGAAAATATTCATGTAGTCAATTCCAAGAGGTTGAAATTAGGTCTCTTTTGAGTTGAGCCAAGTGGATTTAACTAATAGTGATGACAGCAAATGACATCTTGATGAGGTATGCTCCTTTATCCTAATAATAAATAATTGTAAGTTTTTAGTAAGAATTGGATTATTTAGCGGAAGTTGGGAAAAAGTAAAATGATAATAGGGTTAATGAAGACCATCTCTACAAGGTATTGCCTACATCTAGGAAACAAGAGCAAACAAACTTGCAAAGCAAAGGAGTTCCCACCGGGGGGGGGTGTATTGATGTATTTTCCCCAACTAATACCATTTATCAACAACTAACCAAATAAATAGTACAGAACAACATGCCTTTCCAAATAAAACTAAGCCAACTTCACTGATTCATTATGCTTCATTTGAAAGTAATGAAGGACAAAGCAAACTTGCCCACCTGCTCATTGAAGACACCACCAACTCCAGACAAACCAAGAAGTATATGAGGCTTGACTTTTTTAACCTAAACAAAATCCATTCCCTGCAATTAGTTTTTCTAAATTATGAAAGCATACACAAGGTTCTGAAAGATAACAGCAACATCCATGATCCAATTGCACGTACCCAAGAAGCAAGCTAAACAACCGAAGGTTTCTTTTCCACACAATATCAATCTATATCAGCCTTGCATCAACATAGGCTGCCAAAAAACACTCCAGTAAGATTTACCACTTTAACGAGATTTGCTCCCTCCCTAAGTCCCAAACCCTCGATCTCCCAAGGGGCTTTAGCAAATGGTGCAGCTGCTGGATCAACACCCTTCCGTTCTGTTGTAATGAGACCCTGCATTTAAACCAGTACTTATCAAAAAAAGATGAACCAAAAGTCAAATGGATGATTCCCTGAAAATGTAAATGAAACAATAAAGTTCAGATTGCCATATTATGAGTTTTTCTTCTCATTCCAATGCAGATTCATTCCCACAATTCATTCAGTTACATGCAGATAAGTAACTTATTATCATTACTTTGAAAAAAAGGTGAAATTCAGTTGATAACACTAAAAAAAATTTTTAAAAAAAATCTCCTTTACAAATATGTTCAAACATATGTTCTCCACATTTTATTACAAGAGAAATACCCAGTAACACATAATAAAGGCTAATATGGTAATTGACATTAAGAACAAAAAAGTTAGAGAGCAAGTAATATCTATAGAACCACACATCTTTATCAAGTAGGAAAAACAGAGGATTTGCTTCAGCTCCTGCCATTCTTGAAACAGCCTGTGCAGCCATGTTAAAAACACCAAGCCCTGCACTGAAAGACAGAAAAAGAATAAGAAGACACAACTCACAGCTGATATTACCAACCACCCTAAACAATAAAGAAGTAAGTAACACTTAAAACCAGGACTACAGCCATTACAATTGAACTTCATCAGTACCTTCCAGCTCCAACTACAACTATCTTTTGGTTCACAAGGTCAGTCAATGGTCGATCTTGTGCCCTTACAGTTCCAAGCAGTCCTGCCAATGCAACACCAGCAGTTCCCTATACAACATGATGATAAGCGACAAAAATGTCATTATAATAGTCACCCTTAACAATCTTAAAGTACATTGCCTTATTATATTCTTTACTATTTCCATGGAAGATAGCAGAATACAACACCAAGTATTCACCTGCATGTCATTATTGAATATGCAGAACCTTTTTTTGATACCGTTGCAGTCTTTCAAAAGCCCTCTTCATTTGAAAATCCTCAAACTGATAATATTCGCCAAACATCAAGTAATCAGTATGATATTGGTTACACATCAAACAAGATGTCATATTTCTGAAAGAACTAAACCTGCACAATAGCCTTGGGCCAACAGGTGTGAATTGCCTCCATAAATTCATCAACAATTGATAGATACTCCTTTCCTTCCAAACAAGGTTGCCGAAGTCCCAAATCTGTCAAAGTAAAATCATGTGAAAAATAAATCCTCACGAAGTTTGTCAGAAAAAATGGGTTTACAAGCAGTTATATAGTCTACTTACTCTACTTAAAGACTAGAAAATATGGAGAACGAAATAGAGTATATTCAGCATAAATGAATGTTAAGAATGGATAAGCATGAATGAACTTCAATGTTTAAAATTGTTGGAAGTCCAACCTAAGGTGTAAGTAATGAAATTTAACAAGGGAAATCCCACTTCGTACAAGTAAAATAGTCACTATTTTCAAATCTGAGAGGTTCATGATATCTTCTTACAAAATGAGAAAATTATGAAAATAATTGACAAGAAACAATTGTAAACAAGAAAAGATTAGACTTGAAACCTTCGTGATGATGGAATTTAAATGGAAATCAATATTACAACACATGGAAGTATAGCCTTTTTATACAACTCCATTTATTTTATTTTATTTTTTGATAAATAATAGACCACTCCATTTGAATGATAATAATTTGGTTGCAATAACTGGACACTCTCGGGCTTTGTATGTACGCTTATGTACAGTCAGATGACCACATGGTTGTTTCCATAATTCCATGGTTTCTATTTTCAGTGCATTTTCATTTTTAGTTTCTTTAGGTAAGGTCATCCCAAAAAACAAAGATATATATGCAGGTACATATCTAACGAGGTGATTCTTATTTACATCTCTAGTTTTGTTAGACTTTAACTTCAAGTTCTGTTGGATTTAAATCTGAATTCACACCATAAAGAGTAATATTAAATAATTAAATCTTAGAAGTTTTATCCATGTTAAAGTTGATTCTAAGTATTAATTATGATTCTCTTTCGAAAGCACCTCTGGATCTGCAATTGGCACCCTCAACAAAATGAAGTGCTTAATTCTATCAGGATTCAATATCTTCTAGTTGAATTTAAGTTAAGAGAAATGAAAAATATACAAAGTGCTACATCCACTTCTATATTAGTCTTTTTTAAAAAAAAAATTGTATTGTTGCTGACTTTAGCAGTTCTGCCGAAACCCTTCTTAGAGTCACTGAATATTCCTACATCATAATTTTTAATATAAAGTCACACTAAGACAGTCAAATATGGCCTAGGATGGGTTGTCTGACGAACAAATTTTGAGTAATTTTCAGGATGCATTAGATCAATCCACATTTTTCTATTGCTTAATAACAAAAAAGATCCTATGCTATCCTAGTCACTTTGCCTCAAGTACATTACTCAATCAGGGTAATTTTATTTACGTATATTACACAATCAGCACCAATGAAGCTTTATAGTCTAATTATTATAGTTCATTTGCATAGTACCCTCAAAAGATGACAACAGATACTTGTCCAGGCTCACAGCAACTTCATTTGACCAGAATATTCCACTCAGAAGATTCTTGTAAGTTTCATAGAGTTCTCAGAATCATCAGATATGAACATGTATACCTCCATCAGCAAAACACTTCTATTGTATAAGGTAGATAATATTATATGTACAAGGGAACAAGCATGTTGCTTAAAACATGTGTATATGACTGCAAAATGATCATAGATATTGAGAAAGTGGACAACCAAATGAAGGAGATGCATGAAACTTCAATTAACACAAAGCAACTTCACCTCTCCTCTCTGCGTGTGTGAAAAGAGAGCGAGCGAGAGAGAGAGAGAGAGGCATCGAATATTGCAGTATTCAAGGCCTATCACAGTCTGTAAGAGAGATAATAATCAATTATGTTAAAGAGCAAGTGATCTGATTGAATATATTCAGTCCCAAATGCAGCCTTTAAACTTTTATGAAGTACAAAATAATGAGTAAAGGCAGATATTTGAAACAATAAAATATTAAATAAAGAAAAGGGACCACTGAACATAAAATAAACAGTACAAAGTGAATATAAAGACGGTCTCCAAGAAGCTTTTGATTGTTGGTACCAACATCAAGCATAACTGGAAGTATCTGTCATAGATGAATGCAGCTAGATTGGTATAGAAGAAAGCAGAATGAAAAGGTAAAAAGTTAGTCCAAAACTGGATATATAATATAAGATAATAAATATCGTAGTTACTAATATCTTTGAGATCAGGTGGACAAGAAATTACTGTCAGTTCTTTACGCATCTAACCTTCTATCTCATATATATGCACTTTCATCAATATAATATCCACATTGATGAAAAATAGCCAATAGAAATATGTTTTGTGAAGCATGAAAACAATGTGCTATGATCCATATCAAGCATGGTAAGTATCTGTGAGTCAGCCCAGTATTAATGTGTGTATTTACTTGTCAGAGTGCACAGGTGTTTATCCATTGACGCACACTTGCACACCAATTTTATTTTAGTGCACACCTGTTTGTGCTATGCCTATATGAACCTGTACATAATAAAGAGAGATGAGCAGAGCATACTCTCTGTGGGTTGATACCAGCAGCAGCGACATACATATCAAGTTTTCCAGTAGGTATTCCAATTCCCTGGACCCCAAGATCACCTAGACCAAGAATGCGACTGCCATCTGTCAGGACAATCATGTCAAGCTGTAATACAGAAGAAGCCATATACCCATGTGCTGGAAATTTGTGTTAATGCATATAATATGATAGTGGTGTTGGTGGTAGATAGTGGCATGTATAGAATATGATAGTGGTGTTGGTGGTAGATAGTGGCATGTATAGAATATGATAGTGGTGTTGGTGGTAGATAATGGCATGTATAGAATATGATAGTGGTGTTGGTGGTAGATAATGGCATGTATAGAATATGATAGTGGTGTTGGTGGTAGATAATGGCATGTATAGAATATGATAGTGGTGTTGGTGGTAGATAATGGCATGTATAGAATATGATAGTGGTGTTGGTGGTAGATAATGGCATGTATAGAATATGATAGTGGTGTTGGTGGTAGATAATGGCATGTATAGAATATGATAGTGGTGTTGGTGGTAGATAATGGCATGTATAGAATATGATAGTGGTGTTGGTGGTAGATAATGGCATGTATAGAATATGATAGTGGTGTTGGTGGTAGATAATGGCATGTATAGAATATGATAGTGGTGTTGGTGGTAGATAATGGCATGTATAGAATATGATAGTGGTGTTGGTGGTAGATAATGGCATGTATAGAATATGATAGTGGTGTTGGTGGTAGATAATGGCATGTATAGAATATGATAGTGGTGTTGGTGGTAGATAATGGCATGTATAGAATATGATAGTGGTGTTGGTGGTAGATAATGGCATGTATAGAATATGATAGTGGTGTTGGTGGTAGATAATGGCATGTATAGAATATGATAGTGGTGTTGGTGGTAGATAATGGCATGTATAGAATATGATAGTGGTGTTGGTGGTAGATAATGGCATGTATAGAATATGATAGTGGTGTTGGTGGTAGATAATGGCATGTATAGAATATGATAGTGGTGTTGGTGGTAGATAATGGCATGTATAGAATATGATAGTGGTGTTGGTGGTAGATAATGGCATGTATAGAATATGATAGTGGTGTTGGTGGTAGATAATGGCATGTATAGAATATGATAGTGGTGTTGGTGGTAGATAATGGCATGTATAGAATATGATAGTGGTGTTGGTGGTAGATAATGGCATGTATAGAATATGATAGTGGTGTTGGTGGTAGATAATGGCATGTATAGAATATGATAGTGGTGTTGGTGGTAGATAATGGCATGTATAGAATATGATAGTGGTGTTGGTGGTAGATAATGGCATGTATAGAATATGATAGTGGTGTTGGTGGTAGATAATGGCATGTATAGAATATGATAGTGGTGTTGGTGGTAGATAATGGCATGTATAGAATATGATAGTGGTGTTGGTGGTAGATAATGGCATGTATAGAATATGATAGTGGTGTTGGTGGTAGATAATGGCATGTATAGAATATGATAGTGGTGTTGGTGGTAGATAATGGCATGTATAGAATATGATAGTGGTGTTGGTGGTAGATAATGGCATGTATAGAATATGATAGTGGTGTTGGTGGTAGATAATGGCATGTATAGAATATGATAGTGGTGTTGGTGGTAGATAATGGCATGTATAGAATATGATAGTGGTGTTGGTGGTAGATAATGGCATGTATAGAATATGATAGTGGTGTTGGTGGTAGATAATGGCATGTATAGAATATGATAGTGGTGTTGGTGGTAGATAATGGCATGTATAGAATATGATAGTGGTGTTGGTGGTAGATAATGGCATGTATAGAATATGATAGTGGTGTTGGTGGTAGATAATGGCATGTATAGAATATGATAGTGGTGTTGGTGGTAGATAATGGCATGTATAGAATATGATAGTGGTGTTGGTGGTAGATAATGGCATGTATAGAATATGATAGTGGTGTTGGTGGTAGATAATGGCATGTATAGAATATGATAGTGGTGTTGGTGGTAGATAATGGCATGTATAGAATATGATAGTGGTGTTGGTGGTAGATAATGGCATGTATAGAATATGATAGTGGTGTTGGTGGTAGATAATGGCATGTATAGAATATGATAGTGGTGTTGGTGGTAGATAATGGCATGTATAGAATATGATAGTGGTGTTGGTGGTAGATAATGGCATGTATAGAATATGATAGTGGTGTTGGTGGTAGATAGTGGCATGTATATAATATGATAGTGGTAGATAGTGGTAATATATAATATGTAAGTGGCATATAATGGGTTATAATGATGTTTGTAATATCTCCTATATAAGGAGTGTCATTTGGTCTTGTAAAATAAGAAGTTTTGAATATAACAGAAATATATTCCTTCTTCCTCATATTTTCGGAGTTCTTCTTCCTCATATTTTCTAAGTCCATGATATGTCAAATGCAATGATGAACATAACCTTTAAGTGGCAAGGAGTGCTGAACCAATTTTCATTTCTAAGCGAGCAAAAGTGCTCATTTTGTAATGTATATATTCATTATTCACAGCAAACAACATTGCTACACTGAACACATTTTTATACCTTGCTTTGTTTACCATCTGATCCAGTACAAGTACAAAGCACTCTTAATGCATCACCAAGATGAAGGTAAAAGCAAAAAAGAGAACAAAACTGGGCATTAATGCATTTTAGATTTCCAAAATACCTGATGACCAGGCCAGTTATAGATCATGGACATCATTTCTCCTTTATCTTTTGCACTGAAGTACATTCCCTGTGAGCGTCTAAACAACCCTGAATAGTTTTGGCAAACCAATCCTACTGTAGGAGTGTATATTATTGGAGCAAAATCTTCTATGTTATCAGCAAGGACATGGAGAGAAAAGCAACAGCAATACAGCATTGCTTCAAATTATTTCTCTCTAGCTAAAGAGAAATTATAATTAATTCTTAAATCACTTGTTGTTTACGAGCTAATAATTGCCACCAAACTTACTCGGTAGTATAAATATAAAGTCTCATTCCTATCATGCAGTCTATTCAAGATCCTCCATTTTGCTAAGGACACAAAACTATCATCTTGGCCTCAAATATTTTTTTCAAGTAATTGATATGACACTAACAATACAAACAACAAAACATCAAGACCATTACTTTTAGAAACAAAATATATTAGAGAAAAATAAGGAGTGAACTGGAGGAGATACTAGGGGTTGGGGTATATGGATAGTATAAAAAAAACAAAAATCCACTATCTCACTTGCAAATTTTATTTATTTATTTTTTATGAGAGCTCTACCTAAGAGGTACCCTAACTCTAATAATGAACTGGAACTACAAACTCTAATTTCATGGTCATAGACAATTTTCATCTGTGTATTTTTCTTTACTTCAGTAATCAATCTAACCATGGTGTGTTCTCTGCACACTTGGATTCAATTATAAGAGCGACAACCTGATATAAATTAGAAAGAGCACACCTAAGAAAAGTCTAAAAGCATACAGCATGCCAAGTTTGAAAACAATCTACTCCTCACCAGCCAAGGTTAAGCAGCTAGAAGTATGCTTTAGAATTTGGACAGCCAGATATGATGCTTGATTTGGCTTATCTACATGTCAAGTGCTTGATTTCACTAAAGATTCAAGGCGTACATGTCAAGTGCTATGACTCAGACATAATGCACCAAACATCAACATAATGTATACTCTTCTTCCCACAAAATTATGACCTTAAATTTCATTTCCAGGGTATTTTATTTTTTCATGTTCCATTAATTAACAATTCTTTGTTTACTAAAACCATAGAAAAGAAACCAATTAACATAGATAGAAGTAATACTGTATTTACATTTTAAATATCTATTTCAAGACTCCAGTTGAGATGAAAAATCTCCTTGTTAGAACTAAAGGAATACAAGACCTTTTACTGGCACATTAGTTGTTCCAAGACTTCTCTGCTACGTTTTTCACCTCTATTTTTTCAAATTACTCTGTGATCCTTCCTCCATTCAGTAATATATAGATTAATCAATAGTCATTAATAAAAACATTAATTCAACTTATTTATTTTGGAAGAGAGGAATTATAAGCGTTAAATGGTGTGTTCCAAGGCCTACACCCAAAACATTATCAGATCCCAAGGAGACAATGTAAATTCCATCATTGCAGCGGCATCAAATATTCTTGGTCCATCGCAAAAAAAGACCATCAAATTAAAGCTGAAATCTAGCAGTTCATAGAATGTTCAAACTATAAAAGCCAAGACACATGGAGCACGAAAAGTGACCTGTTTGGACTCGGAAGCTTTTGCAAGCAGCATGATGTCCCCATAGGAATGAGATGTTTGTACAGTTATAGTAACCAATCAAGATTGAGCAATAGTCCAAGACCAGACTAGAGATACGTTGTCCTGCAAACCAAACAGGTCAAGTGTTAGTTCAACTTGTTGTAACAGAGTGAGTTAGGTAGATATTTTCGTTAGATATTTTGTAAACATGTGGAGTGTATATAACGTACTGTATCTTCGAGTTTTCAATCTAATGAAAATCATTCAGTTTCAATAACTTCTTCATGTGTAACATTAAGAGAGGTAGCTATAGCATGGCTAATCTACATATATCCATCAGGGATGAATTGATAGATTAAAAACTCAATATCCACAAATAACTTAGAGAGAATGATATATATACTCAAGGCAGCTCAAGTGGCAAATCAAGACAAGTCCAAAATGGAGTGTGCTGTTAGATGTAGAAAATTTAATGTATAAAGAGAAATAGAGAATTGTATTATTGATTGATTTATATTGATATCTATTACAATGATTCATGATTCTTATATATAGAAGAGGGTGAGTGTGTAGTAGGTAAGGAGTAGGTGAAGTGGAGGTGGTAGTGGTGTAGTGGGTTAGGTTTAGTGGAGTAGGTGAGGTGGTAGTGGTGTAGTGGGTTAGGTTTAGTGGAGTAGGTTTAAGTGGGTGAAGTAGGTGGAGAGTAGGTGGATTTTAACATTAGATAATCATCAAGTTCACAAAATTAGGATTCTTCTCCATATTACAAAGAAGAAGTTCTAAGAATCAACCATTGCGGAGCCAAAAACGTCCATTAAACAATTCACCACCAATATCAAACTTCAATTATACATAATGTACACTAATAAACTTGTGTAATACACAAAACTGGATCAAGTAATTTATAGTTACCAAATTACAAATACCATAATGAAAGCAAAAACCACGATAGTTAATTGTTACAAAAATCTAATAAATGACCGCTTGCATTACTAATACTAAAATTCCATAAATGCTAATAAGGTTAAACAATTGATTCCATAAATCATAAATGTATAATATTTCCCTTCACTAAAATTTTGAACAAATTTAATTCAGATATATCCTTTGAACATAAGGTTTGTTTGGTTAATTTAGTTGAAGAAAACAACACCCACTGTGTTTGTTGGCAATTCCTTTTTAATGCCACAAGTTCTCCTCTTTTTTTCCCCATTTTTTAAATATAAGCACAAATCCTCTCCTAAACTGTCACATAATGCCGTAATCATCTCCTTGGACATTAGGATAATAGTGATGTATAAGGTAGGTAACACGTGAACATCTACAAAAGAATTCAAAGAAAGAAGAAAATGAAAAAGAATAACTAAAATATTAGAAGGAAAAAAAGGGTAACATGATTATATATTAATCGCTATGCTTTATGAAATTAGTTCATATTTTTTAGTGTACAAGATTGACCTCATTTAAAATAAAATTTTCAAAAAGTCTGAATAATAATTTCAGATTTACAAATTTCCAGTGGGGTCACCTGACCCAACTTTGTTATACATGGCTTTGCCCCTAAGAATCAAGGCAATACACCAACAGCTACTAAAAGAATACAAAAGCAACAAATTTCCCAAATTAAAGACAGACAATAGGAAACTATTCCTCCAATTGTAACAAGTTAACATAGTGCACATAGAAGACACAAGGGCTGTTGCATGTGCAGTTACACCCAATTTTAATAGGTACCATATGCCATTTGTTTGGAACCAAATAACATGAAAAACGTAGACAACACATGAATGAAAAACTTTTTGACATGGATTTATCCTTAATATATATGAGGAACAAAATTTTTGTTTGTTTGCATTGAAATGGCCAAAATGTTGCCATTTCCCAAGAGACCGAAACGAAACACTAATGGAATAATAAAATTCTAGTGTATTCATTGAAACACATCAAAACATAGTGAAAGACACCAAAACATAGTGTGATATACAGAAAGAGTAAATTGTATCTATACAAATTTAGAAATTTTCATAAACATTTATTACTGCTGCTTAAGTAAATTTTTAGACCTTATTGGAAACTTTTGTTTTATAAAATTGAGTTATTTAACAATACTTAATAATTTTTAGTTCATAGTAACATTGGTTTTTTAATTCTTTTACGTGAATGACTATATGAATCTCAATTTGTTTAATTAATCAATTATTAGGCTTTTATACATTTAGATATATTTCAATTTATATTTTCAAACATTTCTATTTTATCTTTATTTCATAAAATATTTCTGAGATGTTTTTGTTTCTGTACTATTTGATGCAGCACACTGAAACGAAATTTTGATCTTTGTATATATATATTATTATTTGAAATCCAAAGACCAGGAATCATCAATTTGTTGATTCTTTGAGCACACATGTGAAAAAAAAAGGGCAGGCTTCCACACACAAATGCAGTAGACATAATATCACACAAATTCAATTACAATATTTTTACGGTGTGTTAAACATCCACTGGTTCTGAATTGCTCAGGAGATAAAGCATATGAAATACAAAACACGCTAACAATATACAAAAAATTAACAAATTGTATATAATGTCCCCATTAAAAACTTTGATGTGTAAGAATACACTTAATATTAAAATATCAACTAAAGCTAACAAGGCAGCAAAGATTAATCAAATAATGTTGATTCACCCTCTAAGCAAAATGGGTAGCATTTTCCTACTAATTTTCAAGGGGTAAAACAACAGGAAGATACTCGACCTGTACAATTTAATAAATGACTTCATTCAACTTTTTACAACATTCTAGTTATCTAGTAACCAAAATTCAAATTATAATATAGTCAAGGACACATCATATAAATGCATGTACATTTAAGCTGATGAATAATCAGTATTGATGATCTGCGAGAGTGAGTTAGTTATCAAAAGAAAAATAGCAAATTGGGGAATCACTATAACAACCTATATGTATGAATTGCCACCTCATACAACATACTACCCAAAAATTTTACAAACAAAAGTAGTGGGTGAAGCCAAGCTCACTACATTTTCACTATATGCAACTATAGATAAATAAAAAATCACTCAACATATCTCCATGAAATTGTGAAACTATGAACATTCTAAACATGAGCTTTCCCAAAGCTATATTTCCCCTAAAAAAAATGAAAGGCCATATGATGCAAGTTAGGTAAAGATATTACAAAAGAAAACACCAAAACGGTTTCAACTCAAGAAAATTCTTACCAGGATTGGTCAAAGTGTACATAAGGATAGCGAACAATCACTGGATGGACAGGATATCCAGGGACAAATGCACCAAGTTGGAAAGAAATGAGAACTCTTCCATTTGTTGTGGTTGCCTCGGAAATACAAGCAAACGAGGAAATCTATCGGAAGAAGCCTTTCTCTGTATTCAAATCCTTGAAATCACATTTCTGTATCAAATAATCCCTCAGAGATTGATAAAACTTAATACTCTAAATTTTTTTCATACAAAAAATGTAACAACTCTAGGTATATAATTAAAATTGCTTTTAGTTTCCATATTTATTAAACAACTCACAAAAATGAAATTTGGACACCTGATATGCGTGTATTTGTTTGTAGCTTTTTAAGTTAGCTCTTACAACATCAAAAAATTTGTTTAATTTTTCTAAGCATTTGCAAACTACTCACATCATAGCATTTCATTCTATTTCGTTTTTTTATTTTATTTTAATCAGACTCATTTGATCGGCCAAAAAATTCTCCCTTCAACAAGAATTTGTACCAGCTTAATCACTTTCAATCTGACTTTTCGCGATCACTATATAGGCAACAACTTAACAAATACAAAAATATTTCATTAATAACTAGCCTAGAAAACCCAAAAACTAAGGTTTGGTTTTCATAATCAATTTTGAAAGATAATTTTTTAATTCTAAAAATAGTTTTCAGAAATTTAAAAATCCAAAACTCATTTAGTTTTTAGAATCTAAAATAATTTTTAAAACTCTGTTTGGTTTTGGATTTTTCAAAAATAATTTTTAAGTTTCAATCTGTATTTTATTGTTTTTAGTGAACTTTTTAAGTATTTAATCAAGGTTTTTCAATTTTTTAGATCCACTCAATCTAAATACACCTAAAACGTATAAAATTTATGAAAAAAATCATTTAAAAAATCACTAAATATTAATAAATATACAAATTTAATACATTTTTGTATGTATTTTGCATTTATTAAATTTTTTTTAAAGATTTTTTAATTTTTAATTTTTTTTTAAGTATATGTAGATTAGATGCATCTAAAAAATAAAACAAATTACCCAATATATTAAAAAAATATGAATTAAAAATTTTAAAACTATTTTTGAAAACTCCAAAACCAAACAAAATTTTAAAAATTATTTACTCATTCCATAATGGTCCTCTAAATTTAAATTTAACAGATTTTTTTCATTATTTTCAAAAATATTTTTTATTAATTGAAAATACAAATTCATTTTATTTTAAATTTTTATATGAATTTGCAAATAACTTGCTCATCCAAAAAAATTCGATTAACTTGAAAATATGATGTATTGCATACTTCAGCGATCCCTCATTCAAAAAAAATTTGAAAATCAATGAGCAAAAAGACATTAAAAATTAGCAATGCTGAAAATCTTTACTATTAATTAGATTGTTTGATTAAGTTTTTTAAAATCTGTAAAATTAAAAAAATAAAAATTAAAAACACTTATTGTTTTTCATATGATTTTTTGTTTTAAAATCTGAAAATATTTTTTAAATGTTTATATTTATCAAATTAGTTTATGTTTTGATACCTGGCAATTTGAGTGCTTGTAAAACTGCGGTGGGAATCTCCACAACAGAGTTTATCACTCATCAAAAACATCGAACATCAGGTATGTGAGCTAAGTGGGGCCAATATTTGCCTTTCCCCTTTTCACACTTCCTCGTTAGTTTCCGACTTCCACAGATCCAGAAACTCTTAAGTGAGGGAGGCAGCC